TCCAGCGATTGTCTTTTGAACGATAATAAAAAATAAGTTTAAAAGTAAGTACCTTCACCTATATCGAATATATAAATATTTATTACCAATGGTGGCACCAGTTTTTTTTGCCTGGGTGGGCTAAGCTGGGGCCACTGTTTTAAACCGAGGTCCAGTGACATAACAAAATTCGCCTTACATATCGGGTGGTAACAACTTACAATTACAGGTCAATAAAAAATAAAGGTCACTATCGAGAGTAATATAAGCTTATTTTTAAAACTTCAATAACCCTCTTCCTTTTCTATATATTATGTTACTGAGTAAAGCCATAATATATCCACCAACTTGCCACACTTCTTGAGAAAAATATAACATACATTTTCAAAATTACAACATTACATCATACAGGGTGGGCCAGCTGGGGGCCGAGAACATTTTAGGGTGCGGACCAAGGCCCACCCCTGGCGTCGCCACTGAAGATATTCACTGATTTAAAATAGTATATAGGTTGTATGAACTATATTATTATAGTCGAGCTTTTAAAATACCTATATTTTTCTCTTTCACGAAAACCGTACGCGTCAACAACGGAATAAACATTGTAGGCATAGGTGCGCAGCTCTATATACGACACTATAAGGCGACATGCAGGACATTACCTACACGATGTAAACCTGTTGTGATGTACGTTTCACAAAATCCCCGTGTCAAACTAAAATAATAGGTACGTTTATATTATAATATAATAATACGCCTTGTACTGCAGATCCGACATGTGTTATACGCTACTGCAGTGCAACTGTGTGAGCTCTCACAATTATTTCCAAATGTATATATCATACACAAGTTTGTGCGTGTGTGCACGCGCGTGTATTTACGATTTGTGTAAGTACACGTTCGTTTCGCTCGATTCGTTTAAGCATTTAATGTTTGTACAGAATTTATCGAGCTTTCGGTATTAACATATATCATGATATGAGTACCTATGTAGGCACTCGACGATCGAAATAAAGGTGGCGTGTAGGATATATATATATCATATATACATAATACATTATACATATTACATAACATATAGTCATATAGGTATAAGGTGCAAGTGTTGGTCCCGTATAGTATATCCATATATATTATCTAGGTACAAACGGCATATACATTTTATATGTTTGTAATTTAGACATACATTATACATAATATGATGTATAGGTATTAGATATATAATATAATAATAATATATAATATATATATAGGTATCAATGTATTATATTATATTATATAGGTATATTCAATTTATTGTTGTACCCATAACCGAATAGATCATTATATTATTATAACTATAAAACGAACGGTTTGGTGGTACTAACTGAACAAAGTCCAGTGAATTTTAAAAGTCACACTCACGTCGACGTTTACTTCAAAATGATAAGAACATATGACTATGTTTTCAACGTTAAAAACTTTGACGTAAATTTCAAACCACGGTGGGCGCAAAATAGCGACTATATAGGATATCATACGTTACATAAATCACCAGACATTAGGATAAACGTCGATTTGCCGATTTCAGAGGAAGGAAACGCCCTAATATGAGCACGCTGTGTAGTCAACAACAATACAGTCACTATGCCACGAAAACGTGTAGGTACCTACTTATTCTATGCTTTAAAATAATAAACCATGTATATATCCATGACGACCGATTTGGTTAGGTGTTCTCGGTGCACGCTTTCGAAGCAATTTTCCTTTTTTTGCCCAATGATTGTGATGATTATAAAACAAACAACACTATTCAATCGTAAAAAGATTGTACGACCACACCGCTGTGTCGGAGATACGGCCGGTAGCCGGTAGTGTATACTTCCGTCGATTGTCGATCCGTTTTCCCGTTATCTCAAAAATCATAAATAGTTAGTGCCCTAGGTGGGTGAGGTATGAATTTCGATTTTAGTTTTAAACGAAGAGGTATATCCAGGATTTTTAAATGGGGGTGGGAGAGCAAATATGTTACATTTAAATTAGACATGGTACCTACCGTAAAAGTGTTTTTTTTTTTTATAATATAATGTTAGTGGTATAAATAGGTACTGTTTTACATCACATATATAGGTATACAATATACATATAACGCACACCGACGCTGGTTGGATACCTCGGCCGCGGGAGGCATTTTTTTTGGGCAAGTCACGGTGTCTGGAGAAAAAGTGCTGCCATCCCCCACCCGGGCAAGGCAGATACCTACGGGTGCCCAAATCAAAAATACTGCCAAAACAAACACACAAGTGTAAACAAAATCTACAGTAGGTACCCTCCCTACAGTACCACAGGCTAATGATCTAATAGTTGAAGCCTTAACCCTAAAAAAAAAAAAATACATACATATAAGTATATCACGTATTCACGTTAAATTACTTTGTCACCGTTTAAAGTAGGGACGTCATTTGGAGTAAAATCATGGGGTAGCAAGCGTCTTGAATAATATTTTTAATTAAATTGCATGTGCGGTCTAATGAAGCCTCATCAGGGCAGTTGGTGGATAAAATTGGTAGGGTGGAAATTGCTACCCCGAAATGACGCATATGGTTGTTCGAGTATCTGAGTATATTATGAAAGGTGAGCGCAGTACGACATCATCCATAAGAATTTTTCAAATTTCGTATCTTATATAGTAGGTATACCAGAATACGTGTGTGAACTACACACCTCTTCCTGGTGCATTTTTTATTCGTACTGGTACTGGACGTATGAACGGTAGTTTATTGGAGAACAGTTGTCGGACACGTTGATGTAGGTACATTACAAATTACAAGTTAAAAAACTCACCCGGTCTAATTCTGGAATAATTTTCAATAATATAGATTTTTATTTCTTACCTATTTTTTAAGATAATTTATACTACCATAATATAGTTAATCTAGATTCTAGTAACAAAATATAATACACTAATTAGGTGATATTCATTTTTTAGATTCTGAGTGGAACGATGAATGTATTGATTTTACAATGATGTGTGTTTTTTTTTAAATTTATTTTTTTGTCTGTCATCACATTTTAGGACAGTAAAAGTGCTTGGATTTTCTTCAACAGTATCTTTTCTGATAGGAAAGTGAATCTAGTTGGTACTTTGGGGGGTCAAAAGTGAAAATTTCACAGTAGTTTTCAAAAGCGACGTGAAAAACAAAAGAAAAATTAAGGAAAAACGGGAATTTTTACGCAAAATCTGTTTTCGAGAAAACATAGGTATATATATTGTAAGAATATGAACTTAAGAGGATGCTACCCATGCATTTGTTGTCTGTCTTGCACACGTACAACATGGCAAATTTTCGTTCACCAGTTTCAATAGAGTGCTAACCTATTATAAATTGTTTATATAATAACATTATCTGTGCTTAAGCTTTGGCTTTTATTCGATATTTTAATTTTCAAGCGATATATGAGCATTTTTAATTTTTGATATTTCACATACCCATATCTTGCTTCAAAATGAAAATTTCAAAAAATCAGCAACGCTTAAGCACAAATAATGTTCTTACCTAAAAGTTGTATAATAGGTCAATTCACTCAAAACTAACAGTACACTATTGAAACTAGTGAACGACAATTTGCTATGTCGTGCGTGTGTAAGACGGAGATAGCAAATGTGTGTGTAGCGTCCTCTTAATAAAATTGCAGTAATGCAGTGTCTTGGAGATGTCAGTGTTGTAAATCGTATATGACAACGCTATCTAGCTAGGAAATTAAGCAGCTGCGAGGGCCCGGTTCTTTAAGTGTTAAAAATTATTCAGCGGCGTTAGATGGCGCTGCCGTTACCGAAATTATTTAAATCTAAATAATAATACCAGACAATGCCTTAAGCAGCGGTAGATTAAACCTCACCAAACCTCACTAAACCTCACTAAACCTAACTAAACCTCACTTAACCTAACTAAACCTAACGAAACCCAACTAGACTTTCGGAACTGGTGTACTACCGACGAACAACGCCGTGCATAGGCCCATCTATAATATTCAGAACCAGTGGCGTAGCCAGGGGGGTGGCTAAGGGGGCTATAGCCCCCCCCCCATTGACCGATGTTGACCTTAGAATTTTATCAAGATTAATAAAAAAATTAAAAGCGTAAATAAAAAACACATTGTATTTGTATACTTAGCCCCCCCCATAAAAAATTCCTGGCTACGCCACTGTTCAGAACCCCCTTTTCTCTTCTACAATATTTTGATAATAAGTGTTGTTATTCTTATAATTCTTTTATATATTTTGAGCTATTTACGGACATTTTCAGTTTCCAATGTTTTAAGTTTTTTTATTCTATAAATATCAATAAAATGTTATTTGTTGGTCAAAAAAGCTTGAAAATTTAATAGAAGGCTCCTAGTATACTTTTTCAAAGGTAGATGAAAAATATTAAAAATCCTTAGTCACAATTTTTTTTTATAAGCATTTAAAGTTCAAAAATTAACAAAATATGGAAAAATCACAAAAATTAGCAAATTATTTTGAGTTAAGAATTCGTAAAAATTTTTCTTTTTAAATCTAAGATTTGAAAATGTAATACAAGATTACTCATAAGTTTGTCTACCTTTATCAATAAAAAAATCTCTACCGGAAAGTCAAATTAAATTTTTATGAGCGTTTGAAATTCAAATTTTTACAACATTGGATATTCACTCGATTTCTCATGTAGCGATTTCCTCCCGTACCTCCTGTGCGGGCCTGACTTCCATCTCCTGCCCGAGCGCGCAGAGGAGAAGTAAAGCCTACTCCACAAGGCCGCCGAAGAATTCAGGCTGTTCTACAAGATGACCGAGGGCATCCTGTCACTGAAAGAAGAGGAAGAACGAGGAAGGCAAGCTCCTGTCCAGGCCGTCTAAAACACCGAGCAGTCCGTTGCCGCCCACCCGATATCTCCGCCCCCTTTTGGGCTAGGATGTTCGGGTTTGCGGGTCCACGTCCAGGGGCCTAAAAGCCGGACGGGAGGTTTTGGAGGGGGCAAAATTTTTGCTCCCGAAGCCGTCAGATGAAAACCGGCCGAGCTAGAACCGAAAAACCGGTAAAAAAACTCAGTCGCAACAAAGTGTCAATCGAATGTACGAATTGGCAGCCCGGAACGAGAGCACGCCTCCCCAATCTGGCAGCTAGTCATTACCGATGTAAGCAGACCACAGCAGCATCGGGTTCCAGCCAAGCAGAGCCTGGAAAACTGACACGCAGCCAAGCAGAGGCGAACGTCGCAAGAGGCAACCTAATGCGGCGTTCCCACGAGGCGTGAATTTAGGGAGTGATCCACGCCACGACACCTTCGTTCGTATCTCACGACTGAAAATCAAACATGTTTGATTCTACCACGACCCAGTCGTGGGCCCGAAAGCGTGGTTGACCGTCGTGATTAACGCCTCGTGGGAACGCCGCATAAAACCGCAAGTCGACGGTTTACCGTCTATTTTTCTTTCGGCTGTCTATTCGTAAAACACAGTAATTCACAAAATTGTTCAGGAGAAGCAAATTAGTGAAGGCGCTGTCCATGCAACTAGATGGCGAACTAGTGTATATAATTGACCATATCTCATAGTACAGTAGGACCATAGTAACAATTTTGATACCATTACAACCGGAATACTATGTGGAACAAGATAAACGAAAAAAACGTAAATTGATAAGAATGTCACTTACTGTGTTTCAGCAATTGAAAAATATTAAAAATACATAGGCACAATTTTTTTTTATAAGCATTTAAAGATCGAATTTTGACAAAATTTATCATAATCTCGAAAATTATCAATCATTGTAATTAATAAATTATAAAATGTTCAGTTTTTATAGCTAAGGATTGCAAATTTAAAACAAAGGTTCTCATAAATATTTCATACTGTACACAAAAAATCTAAAAAATATATGAACACAGTTATTTTTTACAGACATTTTAAATTCAAATTTGGACGAAATTACATATTAAAATCAATATTAACGATCTTGGTTTTTTGTTGTAATTTAAAAATATTATTCGGGAATATATGAAACTGAAAAATCAAAATATTATGGCCTATCCATACAATCTACCATAGTATAAGGAATAAGAAGTATGGTCAATGATAAGACTGTGCATATTTTTTAAGCGACAATGAATAATTTATTCATAAATTCCTTATAATTTAATACCACAGATAAGTACCATATAATATGTCTTATACCTAGACTGACATACCGTCTCCGCTCAGAATCGTTTTTTCTTATACAGTGATATTATATCATTGAATTCAAATTTAATACCATCCATTATACAGTGACCCACTTGTAACCTACAGTACAGCAGAGCGACATCCACTTACCCACCTTTTTTATTATTGTTTTGTTATTTTTCAATTCAAATGTGTTACAAAATTAAATCTTTAAAACTTAACACTAAATTTAAATTAACACTACCTACTAAAATATATTTTTTTAATTAATTAAAATAATTATATAATGTAATCCCTCGGAAATTAAAACTGTGTCGTAAGTCCATGTAAACTAACATAATACAATATATTATTATTATGTACAAAGTACAAACATTTATTGCTGATGAAAAGTGAAAAACTGAAAACTATATCAAAACAATCGATACGTCACATTTTACACTTTTTTTTGTCGAACTGATTTACCTATAACCTTCTTGTGCTCATCTATTCATCTCCTTCTTTTTTTCCAATGAGTGTATTGCAGATATCCAGTGATCCAAACACCATCCAAACAGTCATGTGTCTAATGGATACGGCATAATTATAAATTACGATCGCAATAAATTGTATAATATGATAACATATTAGGTTTAGAGAAAAAAATCTAATTTAATATGAAATATAAATTAATTGTGTTTGAAATTCTCTCAAAAATGTGTTCTACACGCACGACGCATGGACGCATATAAATAAAATTACTGTCGGTTACTATACGTTTATTTCATGTCATGTCAACAGTCAACTAGCTATAATATTATACAATAATAATATTATAGTCACACCAGTCGCCGCGAGGTCAAACAGTTTATACAGCCGATAATAATTCTGACGTCAGAAGTTACTATACGAAATTAAAATAATTACCCGTACAATTATTTTTACACCGAAATACCGAATACCTACTCATAATATGTTATTAAAGTAAACATAGTTGACCAGTCCGATCGACGACCACCACCACACATTTTGATATCTTGTAATGACATCTTATAAATTAGCTTATTGTTTTTCATTTAATGAAAATAACGTCCTCTATCTCCCTCTATCACGCTCCCTCACTCACTCACTCTCTCTCTATACATATATACAGTGGCGTCATTTGGGGGGGGCAAGGTGGGCATTTGCCCCTGTCTGATTTTAAAAGCAGCCCGAAGGGCCGGTGCCCAGTTTTTGCTGTTTCACCATTATTATTTTTTATCAGCGCAAAAACATGTCTATTTTATAATATTTTCAGAAAATATTATACTACCTATGTACTCAGAAATTATTGTCAATGATACATTTTTTCTAATAATTGATAGTTGGAATATATTTATATTTAGACGTATGCGGGGACGTACACATTGTATGTAGGTATAAGGTATGTTTGTTTGTGTGAGTGTATAACAATAATAATGAGTATCGTAATCCCGTATAATTTTATTTCTAAAATCTAAAATTAATACAAATTCTAAAAACAACAACTGATTGGCACTCTTATTAATTATCATTGTCCATTGATACCAGACTTCATACGCAGTTAACTTACGAGTTACGACAGTCGTGTATGGTAAATTATTCAACTATTCTGCGTATTGTGTTGTGTACCCAGGGCCGGGTTGGACAAATTCGGCCCACCGAGTTTTCCGTACTTTACCTACCCACTTTAAAACTGGCGGCGCTTGGGTACGCTCTTATTCCGTGCATAGTTATTTTATTTTATAGTCTCCATTTCTTCAACTTTTAACTCTTAACATATTTTTAGTCAATGCGGCCCCTCATGACTTGAACGGCCCAAAATTGTCGCGGCCAGCTGAGTTTTACATCGGTAACTCGCCGGGTCAATCTGGCCCTGTAGTGTACCTTATCCTACCTAAATTAAAATTTATTTTTTCGTGACGCGTGTTTACATTAATCTTTCAATTTGAGCAAAATATGACTTTAAAAAAAAGTAAATGGGTGGTGCGGTTAAAAATATAAAATTACCGCAAACCGCTCAAGAATCGAAAACAATTTCTGGTATGTTTAATAAAAATACAAAACTTAAACCAGTAAGCACTAAGCAAGCAATAAAAATAATAAATATTATAATTTAAAATAATATTAATTTGAAAATATATTGTATACATATAGTCATATAGAGTATAGGTGAGAAGTGATGAATCAGGTAAAATTGATTTATAGATGATGCAGTTGATATATTTTCATAAAATAAAAAAAAAAGAAGATATCCTTTAATAAGCTACTTATATTTTTGTTTATCAATAAATATTGCTATATTATGTTTGTAGACTTTTAAGTTTTAATTGATGTAGGTGTACAATTGTTTTTTATAAAATATCTGCCACCTTCTATTTAAAAATGATATTACCTAGTTAATAAAAAGGGTTGCATAAAATAATGTAGATAATATAACGAGCGAAGCGAGCGGTTTTTTTTTTACCTATTCGGGCCGGTCAAAACCTTTGCCCCCCTCTATTGAAAACTGAAATGACGCCACTGCATATATATGAATTAGGTGCGTATTGTGGTGGCCGCGGGATATAAGCAATATAATCCAAACGAGTGGGTACTTAGACACAATTATTTAGATCATTTTGACACGATATCGATAGGATTTAGAAAAGGATCTATATCGTGGCTAGCTCGGCTAGGTGACACTTCTAAATATAAATTGTATTTGTATACAACTGAAATATAATTGTAAGTACCTGTATGTATTTACAAAAAAGTAAAGCCGGTGTGTTAAGCAGTGTAGTTATAGTGTTATACACATTAATGCAAAATATAGTGTATAAGTGTATTATAGGTACGCACTAATAAACCAAACTTAAAAAGTTATGGTTTTAAAAGGTTTAATTAAAAAGCAATAAGGATACTCATGTCCTGCAGTGGCATACACACACATTTTGTATTTTGATGGTGATGGAGAAAGGTCAGTGGAAAAAACCTAACCTATCTACAAAAAAAAAGACATTTTAAAGTATAGATACCTATTTATATAATGCCATGAAAAAGAGGTCAAAGGGTATATGTAAAAAAATGTAGTTGAACAGATCAAGCCCCTAAATTCAAAGATATTAAATATGCATATTATGCGTTTAGGTTTAGGACGCGAGAGGCGCGGCCAACAGATGGATTAATTAGAACGGCGGGCTAGGCCGGCTCCGGAAGAGGACTACCACGGGTCATGTAAGATATGTGGGCTCTGGTCGGCGAACTCGGCCCCAGAAGACTTTCAGGACAACAAATATGGAAGATTAAATGAGGGCAGTTAAGACGGGGCATGTCTAATCTACCTCCAAAACAACCATGTTACGCGATGTAGTGCTCATATTATACACTAGCCTGCCAGCGCCAAGGATGACATATTGTGGTTTCCAGATGGGCTTCCATGATGTATCCATATATTATTGTGTCTTGTCAGTGGCAGTAAAATGATTTTGAATAGTGCATGTTAAAAAAATAATTTATGGTTATCAGATATTAAACATTGAAAAAAGCACATTGGGGGGGGGATCTATAGGGGGATAGAATGCCGTTTGACCACCTGTACTGTATTTTGTTGTACTTTTACTCTAATAAATAATGCAACATTGGGGGTAGACTTACAATTTACAAAAGTGGTGTAGGTTACGCAAAAAATAAAGATACGCCTATAGGTATTTATACTGTTATTTATTATGTAGTAGGAAATTTAATCAATATGGTATAAATATTCAAATATGTTTACGCAAAGCAATAACGAAAAGGCATTAAAATTAATTTATAGTTATATGAAATTTATAAAGAACAATATAATATCAGAAACATCCCCTCACCAGGATCTTATATTATTCTAAATATTAAGCTCGATGATATAAAATTCATGATAACCTTCTTTTGTTCACATTTGTTAAATAGTTGCAGCTTTTTCAATAAGTAATAACTGCAATATTTCAAATTTGAATACTATTTTAAATACTTTTTGGAAAAAAAATAAAGGAAGAATTTTAAGAATAAGTATTTTGAATTTTTCTTTTATTCTTTAAAAAATAATTTTTTTGAACTCAAAAACTAGTTTATATTTGTGACAAAACAAATTTTTCTATTAAAAATCAGGCACATTATAAGTTATGAACAATAATATTTTTATTTGAATGAAATATTATGATTGACCCACCTTAATTTTCAACCATTCCAAAACTGGAAAAAATATATTATAATAGTATTCGATTACTTTTTTGTGAATTCGAAATTCGAATAATTATGTATTCAGAATACCTATATTTTTTTTAATGTATTCGTATGTTATGTATTCGGAATACTTTAATCCTCGCTTATTCCGTATTCGAATACGTATTCCGAAAAGTGGTGAAACCAAATGAATTTATCTATTCTTTACAAGACTGCTGACCGCTGACGGACACGCCTCGTACAATAATAGTCGCTATCGAAGTGGGTAGGCAGGGCCCAGGACTATGGAAGGGAGGGTGTTTACTGTTTAATAACTGTACATTAAACTAAGTTTTTTTTACAGTTTTTGTATATAAATATTAAAAATAATTCTTTTATTAGGAAAAAAATTCAATTTTTAACCCCCCCCCCCCCCCTAGCTACGCTACTGCAGTACTGCGTATACGCATAGCGTCTAAAGACCTGAAGCAGGCTGATGGTAAAGTGAAAAACTCTGCATACGACCACAGATATATAAAAACGCCATGTATAGTGATACATTATTGTTCTATGCTGATCATAGACATTCTATTATGTCGGTTAGGTTCAGCTATTCTAGGGTTCTATTATATTCTATTACGGGGGACCCAACTGCCCGATGCCCACCACCAGCAACGTGTCAACTAATGCCTCAATTCCGGTGGCGGAAATTACTATAATGTGGAGCCGCACTATTTTATGTGCCATGTTACACTTATCAAATATATTAATATATTAATTCGTGCCTGTAACAGTTAGCCCAATATTGAGGATTCTGTCCATAATATTGAAAAAAATAATAATAATAACTTTTGTAAGTCTTCATCGTTATTTGAAATGAATGTATGTAGTAAAATAATTCGTAAAACATATTATGTTGGTAATACTGATAAATGATAACTTATCACTGTAAATACCTCGGTCTTTGATTAAATAATATATATTTTATTATTTTTTTTTTAAATAGGTAAATAGTAAATACTAAATAATAATATTACTATATTAGCAATTTGCAATTTAAGTACTATTGACGATTATTGACTAAGTACATGTAAATTATAAGTTTATTTACCTGTTCATACACCACACTTCTGTCGAACAAAACTATTTCTTATTTAATAAATTGTTTGCTTAATTTCCAGTTTGTTCTCAATCGTTTTCGTTTTTAACGTATCAGTGTTTATGTGTATTTTTTTAATCAATGGTCATTAAGCAGTAAGAAATCTATATGGAAATGTGTGTAATTTAATTGTAAGTCTTGCATTAACTAAGACCGGATTGTCGACTACCTAATTTGGATCTGTAATATGCGTTAAAATGAACTCAAAACAGGTTAATTACATTTTTAAACATAATGTAATGCAATATATTTATAAAAATTAACAGTCCCATCTTTGAATTTCAAACATTGATGAGATTAATAAGCCTAAGAAGCTTCTGATGTTAGTAGATATCTGAAATAAAAATTTTGCTGTAATTATTTGTCTTAAAAGCATTTTTGTGAATTTACAGAACGTCGTATCTTCTTCTGACATTGTGTTTTATTTGACAATAGTAGAATCAATAAATTAAAACCAGTTAAAATAGGTTTAGGAAATAAAGTAAAATAGTATTTATAGTTGTTTATCATATTATTTAAATTCAGTACAATTCTTTTAAAATTATTAAATATTAATTTATTTTAGCTAGTATAATCTTTTTTACTATCTATTGATTGCAAATATATCATTATTCATATTTATAGGTATACTAATTATAATAAAAATGAATAATAATATTGATAGCTAAAGTACATTTTTATACTATGAACTTTAACCGATTGATAAATGATTATATTCATAAAATGTGTAGGGTTTTTTTTTGTTTCGCTAAGTACCTATTATTTTAAATTGATAGAAAATATTTTGGTGGCTGGTCTGAAATATATAAAATTTATATTATGATATAAGTTGTTAATGATATTTAACGTTAAAATATTTAAAAAAACCTTGATAATTACTATATTAATTTAAGTCCCGATTTAAGTTTAAGTCTTAGTTATTATTTTGTTTGTTGGCTAAACAGTTCCAATAAATATTGGTAAACAGTGCTCTTAAATTTAAATTTTACAATTGCTAGAAAAAATTTTGTATTTTCATTCACCGACCACCAAAAAATCACTTATTTACCAAGTATTTCATATAGCCCAAGGATATATTATATTGCAGGCTATATTTGAAACAGTAGTTGATCAATCAGACACTATTCCATTATGTCCTCGTCTAAATTTATTTCTGAAACCTTTTGCACGGATTTTGATTACTGTTCAATTGGATGGCAAAACCAAAACTACAATTTCCAATTGGCAAATCATGGAGCGCTTAAAAGAATGGATAGATCCAGACAAGTTTTCTCATCTCTGTGTAGCAAAAACATCTTCAGAATTAATAAGGTTAGTAGGTATTTTTAAAGAAGAAATCTTCAAAGATCATATTTATAAACAAAATACCTATTATTGATTTGATTTAGGTTCGATGCAGAATTAGCAGACCGTTCACGATTGTCAATAGTATTATCCCGTTTGTGTGATAGACGAATAAAATTTCCTGGATTTTCTCATCTATTGACTGTGCGTGCTATTGAATCTAAACCAGATTTTCCTACTCGCCATAATTGGGATTCATATTTTCGTGATAGTAAAGATATGAACGAACTAAAACCAGGTGAGCGTCCTGATACTTTACACATTGAAAATTTACCTTTGGAGTGGTTAACTGAAGCAGGAGAAAAATATCCTAGTGAAAATATTCTAAAAAAAATATTCAATGGATTTGGTGAAGTAGCTCGTGTTGATTTGCCTGCTGCTGACCCATCAAGAGCTATTCATGGAGTAGGAATCTGTGATGCATACATACAATTCAGAGACTATTCAGCTTTTGCAAAAGCGATGAATGCATTAAGAGGTAATAAATTGGCTTTAATCACAGATACAAAAGCACTAACAGCTAATATCAAAGTGGACTTTGATAAAACAAAACACATGACATTAAGTGAGATTACAAAAAGACATGAACGCCGTGATCGTTTTCTAATGAGAAAAAAAGTTATAGAAGAAACAGAAAGACTAGAAAAAGCAAAGGAATTAAAAAAACAAGAAGAAGAAAAGTAAGATAGTAATACCTATTTAAATTGATAAATGAATGATACATATTAAAAATGCTTTTTTTTTTAAATTACCTTGTAGTAAAAAAAAACTTTTTGAACTGGAAAAAAAAAATGAAAGGCGTAAATTACGAGAAGAAAAACGTAAAGCAAAACGTATTAAGCGTTTAGCTGAACGACAAGCAGATGTAATGAATCAAAAAATTGCAACTGAAGAAAGACTTTTGTTAAAAACACAAAGAAAACTAGAAGCTATTCATTTACTGGGAGAATTGTTTACACGAATTAAAGTACATTTACAACCTTTTTAAATAATAATTTTTTGTTAATTTATAAATTATTTTTGTATTTTAGACGAAAATTAATCTTAAAAGTAATGAGGAAGAAAAGTCTGAAAAAAATAATGCCAATACAAATGTAAGTTATAGAATATAATATTGTTGGTAAATTTTTAATACAAATTTAATTAATTTTCAGAACGTTCAGTGTAGAGATATTGAGTCTACTTTCAGACAAAGAATGATTGAAAAATGGAAACCATCTCAGCCTAAAATATTAAAAAGTAAATTTCATTAATAATAAGTTTATGAACTAAGAAGTTAGCATTTTAGTTTTACAGTTTATATTTATATCAGATTGCATCTTTCTTAGTAATCTATTAGTGTACAATGTTAGTAATGTGACAAACAGGCTCCCCCACCCCCCTGTTGGCCGTATTATTTAAATTTAATATTTTGTGTTATCCTATATAAATGTAATGTAATATTATTCAGTCACAAATCGTCATATTTTATTTTAATAACACACATTTCTAAATTGTTGATAACAATATTATGACCGATTGAGGGACGACGACCGTTGACTGCAAGCTGACAATAAAGGCATTCAATTCAGCTTAAGAAAAATAATATTCATTATAATTAATAAGCAATTATTACATATTTATAATATATATATATGTAAATATATACTAGTATTTACCAGTAGGTAGGTAGTAAATATATTTAGATATTTATAATCCACCCCTCCCGTTAATGTAGGCTGAATCCACACCTGGTGATAAAAGTTACTTGTTACTGTAACAATGTTACTTTGTTTGTACATTGCAACATTTCGCTATATTTTTTTTAAATAGCTTTTTTTACTTCACTCGAGGTTAGGCCTTAGATTATGTTAAATTTCAATTAGATATTTCAAATAATACTTATCTCCAAGCAGTTTTTAATCTCCCTTCGACTTTATGGTTATAACGTCTTGACTGTATATAAATATCTATAATGAATCAATATTATCCTAAATTTTAACTTGTCACAATTTAGTTTTCAATGTTTTTGACAACATATTTACTTGCATTGTATTTTAATTAATTAATTCTTCTTAAAATACAATATTTCTTTTTTTTTGGCATCTTCTTCAGAATGTATACCTATCCATTATCTCTACTTACTCTTGTTGTCAATTGACATTCAATAAAAAATAAGAAAAATACCCATGAATTGATTTCTTAATGCAAAAATATTGTAGTGACTTGTTTATTGAAAAGTAAAGTAATTTAATTACTTTTTAAAAGTAACTTCCCCAACACTGTAAATATATCACTATTTTAAAAAGTATAATAAATTAACCTTTTCTAAACTACTACAATATTTAGGCTATATTATGTGAAATAAAATGTATATATAAATATTTTTTTAATTTTAATTTTGAGATCTTTATGATATAATTAAATTATTTAAGTTTAAAATAATGTGAGCCAGGGTTTCCTAGAATTGTACGGTTACCGTCTAATTATAATACTTTAAAATACAGGAATATAATAGTATATCTGGAGCAGTGAAAGAGCTAAATATCTTGTTATGTAATTACTAATTTGATAGTATGATGACGACGATGACGTTATAGTTTCAGCTCTTTTTACTAACTTCTTAAATTTTAATTTTAACTGTTTCAAATTTAAATTTATTGTAAAATCTTTATAGCTATATTAATATACTTCCCTTGTTCTACTATCCATCTGTATTTAAAAATAATATACAAAAATGCCTCAGTGTTGTTATTTTTTAACAAATCCATAATTAGTATGAATGAAATTATAACAAGTTGAAAGAAATATCTATGTACAATTTATTTTACTGATAACACATGCATTTGTGTACAAACTAATTATTATTACATAGAGTATTTACAGAGTGCTCAAATTACAACATGACTTTTTTTTGTACATTGCAATGCTTATTATACTAAATGATCAAGATATAATTTATATAATATCTATTTCAACTGTTATTTTATTATTATTAACTGCGCTTTATTTGTTGACATGATTTTTATTTCAGATTCCTCAAATAATAATGATTCTGAAAATCGCAGTTATAACAACGACCAAAACAATCGTGGCCGAGGCCGAGGAATTTGGAGAGGTAATCGCGGAAAAGGCACACATCAATACATAGGTCGAGGACCATACCTATTGCCACCCATTTTCGATCCAATGCAGTTGATTAATTACGGACACAAGTATCATAAGTACATTCAGAAGCTTAATAAAAAAACAGAGAATGACAGGAGTCGTAGCCGTAGCCGTAGTCGAAGCCGAAAACGAAGGCGATCATTTTCCAGTAGAAGCTCCAGGAGCTATAGTCGTAGCCGAAGTCGGAGTCGAAATAAAAGTTATAGTAGGTCAAGAAGTAGGAGTCATACAAAAATAAGCAATTCAAGGAGTAGAAGTCGTTCAAAAAGTAAGAGTCTTAAAAAAACCCACAAAAGTCATTCAGAGAGTAAGAGTCGAAGTAGAAGTATTAATAAGAGTTCAGAGAAAACAATAGAAAACAGGTCTAAACATAAACATAAGAAAAAGAGTAAAAATAAGAAGAGTAAAAAGCTTAAGAAATCTAAGAAATGATATTTCGGTTATTGTATTATCAAGAATTGAAACAATGCGGTCCTTAGAATTTTAGATATTTAATAACCATTTGATCATACTTCTTGTCTTAAAGTAAACACTTAAACAGATTTTTATTTACTGTCAAAAAAATTTCCTGTGAGTGTCTTGAAGACAGTGCTGCAATTAGGTATCTATTTGCAGATAATAAGATATTACATGCCTTATTTTCTAGTCTTGTGTAAAACTGTTTGCCCTATGAATTACAATGTGACATACCACAGACAATTATACACAACTTGAAGCTGATGTTCCTGTAAATCATTTTTTGTTTTTGTAATAATATTACTAATATATTTTTAAAAAAAAATTAAAAAGGTAAATTTTGTATTGTATTTATTAAAAAAAAAAATTAAATATACTTAAATAAATAATATTATATTTTTATGAATTTACATAAATAATAATTTAATGAATAAAAATAAATAAAATTAATTGTAGCCGGTGTGCTATGTACAATATTATAGAACATTTAAAACGCACAAAGCACCTTGTTGTACAAAAAAAAAAATTACATTGATGTATTTTTGTGTATTGTATATTTGTATCTATTCAAAAAAAAAAAAATAAGTAATAAATCATTTTTAGGTAAAAGAAAAAAGTTGAGCGGCTTCATTACATTTTATTATTTTAATATTGTATAATAATAAATAATATAATGCATTTGCTAATCGAATTTTAATTTTATTCAACCGTTTTCAGTATCGATGACGAATGGTCTAAGACTGTTTACTTTTCAGCGACTCTTCTGCTTGCACGGATTTGATAAACTGCATGGCTCTGCGCCAAGGAAATGGTGGCGACGATTGGCCTGTAAAACATTAATGACTTATGAGCACACCATATTATAATAGTTGTCAAGGATGACTAATTAATCGACACATCCAGTGTTCACTGTTATAGATATTAATTTTTATTATACCGTTGTAAAAACATGATAATAATACGGAGCTTGGGTAAGTTTTAAAAATGTTGTACGCTTAAAAAATGAAAATAGTGATGTATTGTAGTAGGAAAATATGGGTCAGTAGAGCACGAAACCTGTCAATATGGTACCTTTCCTGACTTATAGTTGAGGGGCGCTTGAAAAATTAAAAAAAATTATGAGGAAATACTCATCAAACTTGGCGCGATTTCCGATATCGGTGGACGGTATGGAGAGTGGAGTTGTTCAAGTGTAGTTTAAAAGCTGTATATACATAGTGATTAGTGATGTACCGAAGTTCTGAGCACACGCCCTATACCGAACCCGTGTGATCGACTTACTTTCTGAAGACCTCCTGTAGTAGGCGTCCAACGATCGGGGGGTCCTCAGGGGCCTCGCCCGTCGCTTGGTTATCGGCGCCGGGCTGGAATGGAGCGGTGGCGCCAAAGTGGTCTGGTGACCGCCTCCCCCACCATTCTTCGTCACGCACATCATGCCATACACTCTGATGCCGGGGACGCTGGCGTACGTCGGCTGATCGTGACTCATCGGGCCCTCTGTGCGAAAAGACGACTCGACGTAAGTATAAAGGTATATTATACAAATCGCGAACGATTATAATGGGTATAACAGTATATAGGTAGGTATCTACCTAATAAACGGCAATAATAATAGGTATATGAAGAAATTATAAAACCACACTGCGCGAACGTATATAAATTAATTCGTCATCCTATAATATATTATGCTTGTTGGTTGTTGGAATTGATGTGGATTTGAAGTCTTTGATCGGGAAACGATTCTGTTCGAAAGGCGACGATCAGAAAATATACAGAATAAAGTGATTAAACCTGATGAAAGCAGTTTTTTTTTGGATTTCACGTCGGACTTCGTTAGCGCTTGCAGCGTATTAAAATTATTTAATACACGTCGCATTCCAATATGGAATTCATTTGTGTTTTTTGACTTGACAACCATGCTCACGTCCATTTTTCCCTTTGATAATGATTCTGAATTTTAGAATTTCTAAATAAATAAGGCTATATTTTCAATGATTTCGATTATTTTAAATAAAATAATAATTATTATTATTATTTTAACCTAACCTAACCTAACTCAATAGAGTGTCATCCAGTGGTGACTCGAACAAACTTCTTTTTTCAAAATAAAAACCAACCCCTTGTACTGTAAACTGTTCGTCATTTAATTTTTTTTAAATCTTGATGCATCTAAATCACAATTAGAACGAGTAGTTTCTGGGTTTTTAAAGTGTAGGTATATCAATAGATATTTAGGTACCTACGAAGTGTCGTATTCCTTAAAAATATAAAATATAATATGTGATATTGAATCCAGTATTTTTTATACTCAGCAAGACTCAATAATTTTTACAAATTCTAAAATGTCAATGGAGTTGGATCAATATTAATTAGGTACCTATTACTACTATTTTAAAAATATCATCATCGCTCTTATAAAAAGGTGAATCTCGTTTGAAAAAAAAAAGTTGGTACAATCGCATGACACTCCTTAAAAATTGTTTAAAGTATTTGAGAATATGGCCCTTAAGTATGACCGTATGGGAATTATAAACTCTAAAAATTAGAATTTTAATTAAATTTACGTATTACTTGAGAAATAAATGTGCGTGAGCATATTATGTTTAGTGAATTACCCTGTAGAGCCGTAGAGGTACCACCTATAAAAATATTATTATTGTTTCTTTTTTTTTTTTTCGTGTACGCAATTTTCTTGGTCGAACCGACACGACTGCGCATGGTCTAAAATCCCATTGGTCAATATAATATTAATATCTATTAATGTTATCATATAATATCATACCCAGCAGATTGGTGTGCGGACACCTGCAGATGACCAGATAATGCGACTTTCCGGTGCGGACGTTTTGCAGGGCCAACAGCGACCAGTCCCTCGGCGAACGGCACGTCCTCATTTCGGCCACTGGTTCGCACGTCTTGACCAGCGTGAGGATCTGTGAGGCGCACGAGTAAAATAACACACAATGTTTAGTGAATAGTTTTATTGTGTTTATTACTATGATTCAATAGATATTAACCAATTATTTTTAATAATTAATAATAATAATAATTTTTTGGTGACAATAATGAAGTGTACTCCTCCTTGCACAACCAATTAGGTACCTATTATTATACACATTCAGTGGAGTCCCTTGAACAATTTCTATGGATGCAGGAGCTCGTTCAATCTGATATACTTAAATATTTTTTATATTGCGCATGGGACATAGGTAAAAGCGTACAAATTTTTATTTCGGTTTTGGCGCAATGGATGTACGATAACCATGGTTTATAATACCTACATGGATCATATTCAATAATTTATGTAGGTACATAAGATTGGAGTCCTATGTACGACTCCTATTCCTGTACGACCGAATTTATTGGGAGTTGATTTTTTTATTTACATATATTTTGACGCGTGAACATATTTGGCTAGTTTCTCCCAGAGGATGCCCCTGACGAGAATCTTGTGAGTAGTCATTTTTAATGAAAAAATAATATTATGATATTTAAAACCTACGTTCGATCAACGTAGTATCAGTTGGTATCCAACTGTTGCTCGTCGTGTATCCATTGTGCACGTTATGCCGTTATATTATTTATTGAGCATGTAGGTACAAATGTACACTATTATCGATCTTACAAAAATTATACATAGGCACCTACGCCTACGCACGCTATTGACAGCATCTGATACATAGACGAAAATATGAAAAATATCGTAACAGTTTTCCGAGCAGTTTTCTTATCTGACATTTACCATCAAATATAAAAATTCAAAGACTATGCGCCTATATGTATCATTATATTAACCGACCATATTTTTGCAAAGATGATGAATACCTACCTCATAAATACTTTCCGGAGGCGACCGCCGGAAAATCGGAACATAATAGGCTGTATACAACTACATGTAATCTTACCTTCTAATTATGGTTAAGGGTTAACGTTCCCGAAATAACATTACATGAATACAGTTTGTATATAGTTTGTTGTGTAGGCATGTATTTAATATTTATGATATCGATAAATGTAGGTAGGTACCTACTTTTATTCGTAGGTTTGAGTACCTACCCTGCACCTATTATTAATGCGCGAATAACCTAAGCTGTGCCATTCGAACAAAGAAAACTTTTTCTTCTTGAATTATAGAATAAAATAGGTAGGTGCCTATAAATGTAGAAACTAACTTATTATATCTATAGATGAAAGTATGAAAATTTGTATACAATAATATGTTAGAACCACATCAAACGACGATATAATGCAGGTAAAAAATTACACCGTAGTTTTTTTTATTAATGTGTAGTTATGTCCTAGGTACCTACTGTATAGGACCTCGATGTCAGACATTTAGTTGTCGGTAAAAAACATTTTGGTAAGGATTTCGTATATGACATACGTCGTAAGCATTCCACTGGAGTGCATTCATAAACTCACTAATCTACGACAAGCGTTTAAAAATGTAGTTTTGACCAAAACAAATTGTACCTATACAGAATATGTTCTTTGGCAATAAATATTTTAGAAACTTTTGATAAGAATAATTGTATACAAAACTATATAGGTAGCTACTAGCTAGTGTAAATGTCACGAGGTAGGACTATAGGAGAATATTGGCATAATTATTTAGCATGGGTATACTATGTAAACTGTGTAGGTACCTATTATAGTGTACTCATGAGTAGGCATATTTTCTATTTACTTTTTGGAGAGTATTCATTCGGGGGAGAGAGGTATCGATCCACTTCTTGACTTTTTTTAATTTATTTAGGGTACCCACGCAGAATTTACCTATAATAAATGAGTTACCGTGGATTAAAATTCCGAATTTTTTTTTTCAAATGAAAAATTTTAACCATCATTTATATTTATTTTTATCAACTTTAAATGCCTACAAATTATATCTATAAATAGCTCGAAAATAAAACGAATAGAAAATGCTAATACCCAAACGTTTGATGAGAAAAACAAATATAACATTGTAAAATCAATACAAAATAATACCAATACATTCATCGCTCCGCTCCGAATTTAAAACAACTCAACTACCTATCGTTTGGGGCGTATATTTTTAGTTTTTATATTTTATTCATACTTGCCACAAATCTGGAGTTGGTACCTTACCTATAAAGCTATACATTATAAATGCAATGTACACCTTTACTGGATGTGGTTTTTTCTGTATATTGGTTATCGTATTTGGTTTAAAAATGGTTTTGTGGCTATCGTTGTCCTATAATTTCGCGTAAAAAAAATTAACGATTCGTTTTTGTTTACGAGACAGTACTACAGTTTAAACTGTATACTATATTAAAATACTGCTATAATATGTTTTTGTTTTTAATGTATAATAATATAATCCGCATAGATAATTTAGTGAAAATAATAAAAACCCCAATGTATAATTCGACATGTATGAATGAACTTAACTACCAGAAAATAAGCTGTAATACGAAAAAGTGTATTTTTTGATGTTATTATAGAGATTATATTCAAATTACTATACTGATAAACGGCATACATAATCATCAACATTACTAACGTGCATTGATTTTTTTTTAAGTGTAGGTACGATAAATGTGAAAAAACAAAGTTTCGTATACATATAGCCTGTCTATAGCAGGTAGGTACTTATTATAATACTACAACGAAATATTTTTTTCGACGTCGAATTAGGATTTGTGAATAATATTATTGAGCCCAGTTATGAAATATTATTATTTAAATTGCCATAATCATGGTAAGCGATTATTTCATGTTCGATTTTTAAATTGACTTTGTCACGGTTCTCTGACCAGACTTTTTTCAGTTGAAGGTAGGTATATTTTACACCGAGTTTGTATGCCCATTTGTTTGGTTTTAAGAAATTTGTCATCAATAAAGGCACAATTTTAAAACTGACATGATTTCAAGTCGCATTTTAAAGCTTCACAATACTATGATTATTCCTATCTGTGTATGAAGTTTAAATACATTTATCAATATTAGTATCATAGTTTTCTGTAAATATTTGCAACAATTATTACACGTATAAATCACTAAAAATTAAAACCCTATTTATTAAATTAAAAAATTGTGATAATAGTGGAAAAATCTATACCTATACTATTTCATAAAATCATAACCATGATTATGGATGTGCTTACAGGACTGTTACTATGATAGTATAATAATGAATTGGATTCATTGTAATCTTTCAAACTTATTCATAGGTATTTCACAAATATACCTATTTTGTAGTAGGTACCTTAAAGGTGTTATAAGTTGAATGGTAATAACTATTATTTCTAATCCATTCTAGTATTCTACTATAACTTCAAGTCAATTAATTTCCACTTTAAATTAATAACTGTAATGGGATTGTACTAAGTTGATTTATTTTTATCAAACTACTTTACTCTACATTTTTGTTCAAATGCAGGTTGTAGGCATATAAAATGTATTTAAGATGACGTCATTAAGTTAAATGTATATAATGATAAGTTATTTTCTATCCCAATCATATGATGGCTATCAGATTGTTAGAATTTAAATTACCATCTGTTGGTAAGTGAACTTGTTTATGCGTACCTACCTATAAGTTTAAATTCTAATTACATTACATACACATCGAATGGGTAGCAAAAATAGAAATACACGTTTGCTGACATTGTTGTTAAAAAGCATTGTGATGTATCTATAGTGGTTTTATTCCCTCCATTTTAAATATATTCTAATAATATTAAAGCATATTATGCAAATATTATAGTGTCTTATATAGTCAATTATTTTTTAAGTAAAAATGTATTATACTTTTTATGAAAAGTAACAACAAAACATTGAAAACTCGACAAATTTAAATCAATTTAAATATTGTTTGAATTCGTTTTAAATTTAAAAAAGGTTACATCGTTGGCTTAATACGACTCAAGAAAGTAACTCGGAAACAATGATATATTACAGTATAAATTATGCTTGAATTTTGTCCACCTAATTTACAGTAATTTGTATAAATATAATAATATAATAATTGACATTATAGCATTAACGGATTTTTAGATACTTAGATATTTTCCCAATTTCATAAAAAATGGATTAATAATACTGGTTTTTTTTTATATTATGTACAAACTACTATACCTAGTTATTATCACTATTCTTGTCATATTGTAAGCAATACTAATGAATAATGACTGTATAACTGTTTTTTATTCATGAAAAACTTTTTAGTGACTTGTGAGTACCTATACCTACACTACAATTTACAATATTATTGTCGTATAACTTTGTGTATTTATATAAATAGGTTACGAGTTTATGATTGTTGACTCATGATTTATTACAAACGGCGGGTAACCTAACCTTGTAGGAACTAAACAGTAGTTAAATGGATACATTAGTATAATAGTATTACTTAAATTATATATTAGTATCCCTTAAATGGTTAAATATCCACAATTAATAATGATAATAAACTACTATATCGAAAAAGTAAGACAGAATGATTAAAAAAAAAAAAAAAAATGGAACGACCGAATGGGTGATTCTTATTTGTTTACAGTAGTATAGACTATAATACCTATACTACATAGGTAATGGGTATAGGTATAGGTACTGATAATATCATGTTTTAAACGGCGTGTTTACGTTTTGTCGATGGTTTTTCACGGCTAGATTAGAATCGGCTACTAGAACACATAGTTACTATGTCATAGTACCTACCTACCTATATAATGTATGTATGGTGCATATAGGTGTGTATGTTTTCCGGAGACACGTGAACAAAAGGCATTTCGTGTACTTGAGCGTGTAACCGTTTGTTGCGGGTGAGTAAAAGTTCTAGTCGAATGGTCGTGTTAATAACGACCGACGTGTCTGGGTCGAGGCGACGCCGCGGCCGCGCGTTGCGGATGTTACCATTTTCACCTTTTTGGCGGCAATATTATAATATATATATATGACAAGATTTATGGTCTCGGGTACCTGGCGTGTGAGTATGGCGCTCAATATATATATATATACACGTAAGTACGGACACATAATAATAATAAATAAATAAATAATAATAATAACATGGCGTACACGACTATTCGTGACGACCCGTGCGGGGCGGCACCGAGTGTTTGCGTGTATTATTGCATATTGTGTATATATGGTGCGCATATCTAGAGTGGTCTTCTACATTATACTCCTCCAATCGCCACTGAAAGACTATATAATAATAATGCATTGGGCTATTATACCTAATATACTGAAGCAACTGCGGTGGACTAAATAATAGTATATAATATATAAACATATAATATAGTTTAATATAATAATATATACAGGGTGTAACAGATAGACCTGACTTTTGGAATAACTTTTGTAATAATCAATATTTAAATTTTTTTCTTTTTTATACATATAGGTACCTAATTGATAGTCATTTGTGCTACACGTCATATTATATAGTATACAAAAAATTATTTTTATTTTTATTTTTTTGGATATTATATATTCAAAATAGCCAATTTGTGAATCTGATTATAAGAATAACTTTGACAGCAAAAACATATTTTATCTGAGTAGTTTATTTTTTAGAATTTATTACAATATCAATATTTTTTGATTTAATGAACTTGGTATGTAATAACTTTTTTTTCAAAATATTGTTTTTGGGAATTTGATGAAATAAGTATATTTCTTAAATTATTTACTTATCATATAATTTTAACAATTTTTGTCATACGTTCAAGTAGCATCTTATTTTTTTTTCGCAAAGTCTTTCTGTTACACCTTGTATATACCGGGTTGAGGTTATGGGCACTTGTTTAGGTTTGGACGACGACGACGACGATAAAAAAGTGGACTTAGGCGATCGGTCTCCACATGTGGTCACGCCCGAGCATTAGCAATATTCAAACGGTCGCGGGGGCGGAGGGAGTGTGCGAAATAAGTGGGTCGCGGCCCGGCGATAGAAAAAAACGGTACTCTCGCGGCTTTTTTTTTCGCGTATTTTTTCCTTATATTTTTTTTTACCTCGCCGTACACGCACGAGACCGAAATCGCACGATTTCACGACATTTTCCGCACCGTACCCGATGCGTGTACCGGCTATAATATCGTATACACGTCGTCTAGTAATGTATAATAATATGGCAAAACGGCGGAGAGTATTATATTATACGCGCACGTGTATAATCGTAGTAGGTATATTACGCGAAACTATATTTTTTTAATGCTGCTGCTGCCTTTAAAGTTTATTATAATACTAAATTCATGTTTTTTTATTATGTAGGTCCCTATATTATAGTGTGTAAGCGGCGGAGAGTTTCTATATTTTGTATTTATTTGTTTTTTTTTTGTTTTAACGTGTAAAATAATGTTTTTGGCATAATAATAACTCGTACGTGCAGTAATACGCAATATAGAATAAATTATTAACGCGGTAGGTTATGAATGTATATTTATATATAGGTAAGTTAGGTACTTGTCAGTTGTCTTGATATCTACATAGAGGAGCTTAAAAGACCACAACGTTCTAACACTGCAGTTTAATATAACAGATGTTTGTTAAATTACAATGATACCTAACTTAACCCACAAAAGTGGCATTATATTGACCAATAGGCGAGGTCAACGAAAGTTGTTTTGACGGTAAGATGATTATTGTAATCTGTACATTTCTTATTACCTAACCTATAGTCTGAATAAAAGTCTAATATAAATTACCTATATATCAATATAATATACCCTGCACTAGCAGATAAATAAATATTATATTCCTTAAAATAAACAGTTGATCATCAAAGATATATCCAACAGTAGGTAAACCTAACTACGTTCATTGCTGGAATATTAGCTATTTCATCTCTATTCTAATGGATCTTTAAAAATAAAATAATATAAGCTATAATATTGAGCTTTTTTATAAAAAAAATAAATAAACAAATACTTATTTATATTTTTTTTTTGGTCTTTTGCAAATCAACTTCAGTCTCCAATTTGTTGGTTATTTATAAAATGAATGAAACAAGTTTCATTGATTGTTTAAAAAATTAAAAAGTACCTACCTATCTTTAAGTTATTGACATTGTTTTAAATGAATACACTTTACCGTTTTACTGTAGTTCACATATTGTGTGAAATGTGAATATTGAATTATGTATGTATAAACAAACAATAATATGTATTTATAAAAAGTACAGTAGTGCGAATAGTTAAAAAAAAAAAAAAAACAATAATAAAATGATATCTTTAATACTTGTTTTGTCTCGACAGTTTGAATATACCGCGGTAGGAACTATAGGCAACAGCTGGTACCTAACCTATTATACTTATAATATACTTATTGTTATTCAATATGCACATAATATGCGTGCACTAGAAAAAATATTAAATATTCAGATTTGTTTTGTTACCACGCATCTTCTTATTTTGGAAATCTAACAAATTATTTAATAATATTTGCTTGTTTGTTTTTTATAATACATTCAAAATATGTAAATGATAAGTTGGTCAAGACTCAGCAAATTTAATGACATGCCTGCCAACGTATCATTTGTAATTGAAATAATATAAAGTCATAACCATTTTTTTCAACTATCTATAAAACATCATTATTGACATGATACACGGTACGATGGTACGGTACACTATAGGCTCGCAATAGAAATTATGCGAAGTATTCTTTTATTTTATTTATTTTTGTTCTCATCGTCTCATCATATTGTAATTCATTTTCGTACCTCTTAGCCGATGTGCATATTTTACCAGTCTCGTGAGATATAGTATATATGTAGGTCATATATTATATATTTTTAAATACAGGTAATAAATAATATTTTTTAGATACACGAAATTATTGTCGTCTATACACTTTTTAGATTCTATGAATCGATGTAACGCAAAATATATACGTTTTAAAAAATATTCAAACACATAGGCGACTGCAAGGTTCTGAAGAGATGTTGAGTTTTGTTTTGTCGAATAACATATTTTAAGGTACTTATATGTAGATATAACTGTAAACGTATTACAACAATAAATAATATATAATTATTATTTATTACATGAAAATTAACTCTGATCATCCAAACATCCAATAGAGTGGTAGGCATGTATATTACTATACTTCAATAGAAGATTTAAAAAAAAAATGATATCAAGACGATGCTGGGACACTTATAATGTGCACTTCAAAATAAGTCTGCATAATAAAACCATGAATGTAAGAGAATTTAACGCATGTTGCGAACATGTAAGATTCATTTTAGGTTTTAACTGAAAGCTTTTGTCTAGTTTGAAATTTGAATAGGTATTTATATATATGTACTTTTGAATAAATTAAATTATAATATAATTATATTATACGTATAAAAAATCGTTTTAAAGGTAAGGGCAACATTAAAATTCAGACGTTTAAACAATAATCAGTTCAAATATCTATTCAATCCAATATACATATCGTCCATTATAATCATTTGGTTTACAAAAAAATATCTATACAGTACGCCTGTGTCCATTGTATATAATTGTTTTCATTAATAATTTGTTTTAAATATACCTATACGCACGCTGCATCCATATTAAATATAATATTATTGTACTTACAATTTACATGCGTAAATAACTGGGACGATGTAATGAGAATATAATTTATTACTAAACGCTAATGAATGATAATAGTTTTATTGTCTTAGTCGCAAGAGAATTGTTTTTTCTCCTACGGCACAATTATTCTTACAGCAGTTTATACCTTTAGTAAAATTAATACTTCATAATTGTCCAGTAATCATCATTCATCGTAATAGGTAGAGACTGTATTAATATTATAGTATAGTAATTTAAATCGTTACAATTATAGGTAGATGTGAATGATACCGAAATGATGCAATTTATTTTCACTTACTTTGCCTGTCGGGTCCGTAGACAGTTCCGTAGTGTGTAGGTCATCAGCGTTCAACGATGCCGAGCACGGCTCTTTGTACCTGGACGGACAGGCGCATAGTGGCTGCGTGTAGTTGAGTCTTACATATACAGCATTACACACCTGTATGATTAAACGTATTCATTGATCACTTGTTGACTATATTGTACAAATATTATTTAAGGTCTATTAAAAACTTTAAATACATTAAATCCAACGTCGAGCGATTCAAATGTTTGAATTTTTGCCAGCACTAAATATCTGCACTTGTTATGAATAGTACTCAAATTGATCTTTTACTCTTTGTTAAAAGAACATTGAAGACTGCACAGGCGGAGGTAGGTATTACCCGTTGCGTCGTTTGAATTAATATTAATTTTTAAATAATTATGCGAAAAGAAATATTGATTCATTATACTATATATCTGTCGTATGCGCTCTCGATATTTATCTTTTTATGTTTTTAAATATATTAGTGGGAATATCACCTTTCCTCGTCAATATTAAAACTAAATATTTTTTAAATCTATTTAAAAAATCTTATAAAAATCATCTTATAAAAAAGTTAGTACATTAACTTTGTTATACCTATGTACCTACATCTATTTTAAATTAACATACCTTATAAAAAAGTTGTCTTAAATCTTAATGACGTTTAGGAATTTATCGAATTTATTGACGTTCAATAATCAACCGGTATCAGCAGATCGCATACAATACCAAAATTATTATTTTGTCGATAGATCCCAGATTTCGGGAGATCGCATATAAAACACTGTTATAGTACCTACTTAAATAATGACTATACATTTTTTAAACTAATTGAAGCTCAAGTATCTTTTGTTAGTAAAATAATAGCTATTCAAATATTAGAATAAAATTGTAATTTTTAACTAAAAATTAAAATTATTTTACCAAAAACTTATTGTAAATTTCAAATACAAAAACTTCTATACCTGTTGAACTGCACACTCGGGTAGTAGATATATGTGTTGATTATGTGGATAATAGTGGTATTTTGTTGGTTTTAATCCTTGGTTAGGTGCTGCTGATTTATTCGTTTCCTGCTAGAACAAAATATTGAAATAATTAAATATATTAGTTAAAAACAAATAACATCACTAAATAGTCTATAATTATTGTTACGGTAAAATATTTTCGTCGAACAATTTAATAGGCAGTATTGAATATTTATATATATATATAAATATATAAAACCTATATATTATATTGCCGTATACATAATACATACATATTTTTGATTTTTGTTTGATGTGATAGTTTATTTTGAATATGTGAATAATTAATATGATTAATTATTAGATAACAACTACTTATTAAAAAGTACTCATTTATTTATAAATTTCACATCACGAGTATGCCTACTAAATCACGATACTTATTAGTTGAGATCTAACCAATACTATTTTATTTTTTTTAAACCAAACTTTTCAAGTCAGAAGTTCATATTTAATTTTTATTTTGAATTGTACACGTATTTCATCCTTCAATAGAAACAGTAAATTACTGTTATTCAATATTTACTATAATATTACCTATATATTATAACTTATAAGCTAGGTGCAAGTATAATCAGTTGTGTCATCGCAGTTCAGATAATTAGAACGGAAAAATATAATCACAGGTAATATAATATTATTATGCCCTGTTGTACCTCCTATAGGTACACCGTATACGTTCTTTGTGTATACAATAATAATAACTATAACCACTTTCGCTGTATTATATTGATAGGTTTTGGAACCTAATACTGCTATGATGCAGTACGACCGAATGGACAGCAACTACCGACTCGCGCCTCCCGATAATCTAGGACAATATCTTGGAAATCCTACCTGCGCAATTATTACAATGCCGGTACTCAATTACACCAGCTTTGTCCTTGTTATATAGGTCCGTTTTCCGATTCAGCTATTCATTCGGCTTGTTAACACCAATATTGCCCCCGAGTACCTACCTATAGATACACGCCGCTGTGGCCCAGTTATGTGGGCGGCATCCGAAGCCTAAGCGTACACCGCACATATATTTAGCTGGTATAGTGTCATTGTCAGTATGTACATAGAAACTATAGCCGGACATGCCGGAAATGTGATATTCACAGTAATTTATATGTGTATACACCGCGTAATGATGTGACAAATCCGTGTTTATCTGTGTAATATGAATATAATGTTTGCAAACAGCTGGTAGGTACAACAGGTGAGCAAAACCGTTTTCTCGAATATTATTGGTATACTATATACTATCTACTTTAATGACGTTTTATTTTTCTTCTTTACTCGAATATATAGCTAGTGTAGTATTTGTATAAAATATTAGTGTTAAGAGTGTTAAGACATCGCTGTGACACACTTGAACTTCTTCTTCGTTACAAAATTAGTTTCGGTCAATGGTAATTTTCTAACGATGGATCGATGATTGACGGGTATTTTGATTTTTGGCATATTATATTTAAATGGCTCGACGCGACCGAAGTAATTTTCTCATCGTACGAGCATGGTCATCAATTTATTGTTGTTATTATGTGTATATTATTATATATATATTATGTTAATAATGATTAAAGTTTAATAGGCAGGTATGTGTGATAAATTGACATTTGCTGTTCTGAATTTTTTTCTCGAATTCCATTGAATATTGTCTATTTCTAACAAAATCACGATAAATATACATAAATACTTTATTATCGAGACAAATATTAATACAATATATACGTATTTTACACTTTTGTATTTTATGATATTATATTTTGTCTTTTGGACCTCGAACTTGAGCGATTTAAATAAAGTCATATTTTCTATCTAATATTATTAGAATCTCGTAGGTCATCGTCTGTGGTTACATTGAATCTGCAGCGTTTGAATGGTATTGCTTTTTTTTATATTATGCTAAATTCCGCTAACTTGTGGAATTTATCACATTAAGTGAATTTTTAACAATTCCTCTACAACGGCGTTAGATCCTATTGCACATCTAATTCACGTGAAATTACCATGCCATCGTGTGAAATTTCATGTTTAAATCCGGTGGGCGTGTAAGATTTGTGAATTGTTATAAAACGACAACAGCATAAAAACTAACAATATTAAACGGTAATTTAAGACTGTATAGCAGCGCCTATATTTTGCAATTCACATTCCACTACTGACCGAACCAATCGATAGATTTTTCATTTTAATCCATTCACAAGATGTTTTTTTTTACAAAATGTTTGATCACTTTAATGAATGAAGTGATTAACGTGATTTAGCATTTAATGACTTAACGGACTAACAGGTATTTATTCTTTTCTACACTAATAATTAGTAATTAATAGTAATTTAAATTAAAAAATGTATGAGAGATGGATATTTTGTTACGCTTAGGTATTTCTGCGTATTGGTACAAAAATACACCTATAGCGGTAAACCTACTAATTTATGTACAAATATATTCATAAACATTAAATTATTTATTTCATCTATTGAATACTTATTTAAGTTGTTTTAAACTATAACAAAAAATATTCTGAGCAAAATTGTTTTTTAACTTAATAAATATACTCATATCTATACTATTTATTACATATTAAGAACAATTGTTACAGCATTTTGTAAAAATGATATTATAATAGTATTATAATAATGTTATACCAATATTATTCATTAATATAATGTTATAGTAATATTTATAATATAATAATTTATTTAAATGTTTATACATTGTAATATTTTAATTTTAAGTAATTTTTAATTTCGTTTTCTCTTTACGCTGAATGTATAATAATATGTAGATAATATAATTAATAATTTGTAATATGTAAATATCTACTTCTAACACAAGTTGTGCTTAAAGAAGGTGTATATAACAATAAATATGTTTCTTTCTTTCTAAAAAAAAATATATATCATATACAAATAATTAAATTTGTGGTATTGTTTGATACAATATAGTCATGAATCATGATACACACAATACTAATTACAATAAGTTGAACAATTTAATTTTGAGAATTTAACATATTATTTTCCAAATAACTGCAAAAATACTCGAATAATAAAGAATTGATTTCGGAAGATAAAAGCAAATACCTAATTGTAGCTTGTAGGACTAATATATATATATATATAGGACATATTTTATTATATTAATATTTCGATGAGGGATTTTTTAAAAACGTTTTGTATGGTTGTAGACCATTATGTTTTTTTCTAGTTTTAAAAGAAAGTGACATTATAATGTTATTTCATTACATTCAGTAAACTATTGAAATGTTTATAAAAGCATAGTTTTTTAGACTATTGATTATGTATATGTATTATAAATATTTAACTGCATTACTCATTTAATATTAATTTAAAAAAAAAGGTTTGTTTTTATAAATCTTTAACTATACTTATATCCATTTTATAATTGAATAATAGACTTGTTTGTTTTTTGCCGACTACGTATTTCCCATGTACGGATAATAAATTGCTCGTAAAACGTCCACTAATCCATGCGTGTTAATGTTAAAAGCAACAGGTACGTGTTTAATGCTTGTACGTGCACATTGGTTGGCGCCTGATGTATTAAAAATCAAATTATTTAAAAAAAATTATTTTACAACAATTAACACGTGAAATTTTATAATCATGTAAGGAAAGTGCATAGTAAAAACCTATAGTTTTTAGTCAGATAAATGGTGGTGGGGGGAATGGATCACCCCCGGATGTGTTTGATTAAATATCCTCCGATTAGTGCCTATTAAGTATAATAATAATATATTATACACATTAAAAATAATTTTTTTTATTGACGAATAAAAATTTAGCTTACTGTTTAATCTTTCATGTTCAAACAAATTGTTGTAACACTTCTAAATGTAGGTGGGTACATGTTTTTATGTTATTTTCATTTGTTTGTTGTTTAATTTAAGTCTTAATATAAAAATTCGAAATTTAATCTTTAAATTAATATGATACATATTATACCGATTGCATATTATATTATATAGGGGAGCCACCAATGCACGGACTTCCCTTCTCCTGACTTGAGTCTTCTTTTATTTTTTATTTGATATATATTTATTACGTACTGATAGTAAATTAACTGGGTTATTATTAAAATAGGTATATATTAATATAAACATAATCTCAAAATACCTATATACCTATATTAAATAATTATTATATTCTGTAGATTTTATGTGCTCGTTTGAATAGTATTTAAATATCTAGTATAGGCATGTAGTCTGTAATTGGTTTTAAAATAAGTAATTAATTTTGTTATGTTAATATCAATTTTATAGGCTAATGAACCTGTTGGACAGGGCTTATTTATTTTTATTGTAAAATATAATTCATTTTTTTATTCGTCCTAATAAAGAATATTATTTTAAAAATACAAAACTGTGTTTCAATGTGTTACATTTGATGGTTATAATTATTAACAATGTTGATTCACGAATTTATACTCTTAGAAAAATAGCTTTGAAGTTATAAATAATATTTATTGACATTTTTACTTTTATAATCGTTTGGAAGGTATAAATAGATATAATAATATAGGGATATGTTGGTACATAATAAGATTAGGAGTGTATTGACATTTTTTATTTTAGTTTTAGTTTTTACAATATTAATAATATTAATATATTATGCTGTTTCGGTTGACTCACATTGAAGTATTTTAATTATAGGAAATTCAAAATAATGTCCCAGATACAGGACGATGCAACGGTGTATACCTACCTCATGGTAAAAACCCAAAAACCGATTTCTCTGTGCTGGAATGTTATCGACCAGCGAACCTACTCACAGAAGCCCACACGTACTCAAACTTTCCAGAATCCTCATAACTGCTGGACCGTATAATTGGGTCGGTTAAGTAATTAAATCAGATGGTTTTCGCTTTCGCACGACGCAGCGATGACTTTATATATATATATACCTAACCTAACCTAGGTAGGTAGATGGACGCAGTTTGGCGCGGAAAACCTAATCGAAGAAACCGATTGCTAATTTAGTTTGTGTTTTTTTTTTTTTTTTTTTAATTCTCCACTCCACTTTTTCTCTGTCCCTCG